GTCTCACAGATAAAACGTTCGCAAAAGTTTCACTTACCTAGTGGTTTCTTCAACTAGAATTACTTAATATATATTAAAAAAAAAAACAGCATAATAATATCATAAATGTGGATCAAGTTGAATATAGAGATATGCTCAACAAAATTGGGTTAAAGATTGCGTATAGTAATGGATCAAGTTGAAATTTCCTTTTTTCCTTTATTTAAGTTATGTTCTTCCTTATCCCTAGAAGACATGCATGCCTTTGATCATGAAGATGACACAACAGCTTCTTATTTTTGGCCTCACTAAGCATATTTGTTTAAATTATATAAAATTTTTTTAGAACACACCAAAATGTGGTTTTCACATCACTTTTTTTTTTGTTTTTGGCTTCCCATTTTATTTAAAATGTAATGAAATGTTTTGTTTTCTTGATTAAATCGTTTTATAATTCCTTATAACATATTAGACATGCATGGTACAATTTTCCCTTCTTGTACTTTATACAGCTAGGGCTCATAACTTCTCGTATTTCATATTTTCATGTCATTTTAAAATTTCGACACCAAGCATAATGTATATGTATCTATTCTACACGTTGAAGTTGAAATATAATTAAGAAGAAATAAGAATTCCGAACTCTTAATTTATAACATTTTTATAAGTGGCTTTCTTCTATAAACATGGTTAATGATTAACAGTATCTGATTTCATTTGTCCATATATCTTAGTGCGGTTTTGTAAATGTATGTTTCCAATTTCATAAATTAATAGAAACAAACAAAGAAAAACAATTAGTGGTGATGACTGTAACACCCCAGATCATTTATAGACTAGAAACGCTACTGACGAACATTTAGATGTCCGATCAGAGGTTCCTAGAACATATTCAAATTTTCTAGACAAGACTTCTAAGCGTCCATCCCCATTAGATACGTCTCAAGGGTTGCCAACCCGAGACATACACAATGGTTAGTTCATCCGGACAAGGACTAGTATCACATGAAACCCGAATTTATGCAGACTCGATTTTTATATATATAATTTATACATAAGTTTTAAACGTGATACAAGCATATACAATTGTGAGTCTAACACTCCAAAACGATCATGTACATAATAAATATTATTCATTTACAAAAGGTAAAGAAATCTACTGTTGAATTTCCTAACGTTCCTTTGCCTCCCGGTGGTCTACCCGCTAATGGTTACCTGCAACACAAATAGAGTCGTGAGCACTAGTTGCTCAGTGAGTCTAGGCTCCCCTAGCATTCAAAAATCAATTCCCAACCAAACCCAAAATAACAATCAACACGCAAGCAAGCAAATCTAACAAAAAAATGTGATAAATTATGCAATGTCAATACAAGGCCTTTCGCGTAGACTATTTCCCTCCACGTCAAATCATAAGGTATCCATCAGCCCAAAGCCACAAAGGCTAAAGACCTAAGATCCTTCACCGTTTCAATGGCCTTATGTATATAAGGATCCGCACCGGAAATTCTGCATCGTCATGTAGTACACGGCCAAAGGCTGCAATCCCGTCTCTCCGTGTCTTCATGTACTTAGACTAATACWCAACRTACTARCTAARTCATGGCTTTCAAGRGAACGTCTTACCGCGATCATCATAATTTATAAGTCTTACTATCAACTTAGGTTATAAGAAAACTTATAAATATGCATCAACAATCCAACTTAGTAATTTTCACATGCTAAACCTTTTAAGTACTTAGCAAAAATATAAATCACGCAGCAACGAACCTCACTTGTAATTTAATTAAACACGCAACAAGCATCACCGAGACTCACCTTTGACTTAGTAAAAAGTCACCGGTTTGCCCAAGGTTTCCTACTCTCAATTTGCCTTAGACTTCTACGAAT